TCCATATTAACCGTTTGACCACAAAAAATCAATATAAATTTACACTTTTGATCTTAAAATTAAAATATTTATTTTTAATGAAAAAAATAAAAAATATTGTATATTAGGAAGTTTCATTTTTGCCCCTGGGTACACCCCAACCATTGTCAGTGCAACCTCGAACCTCCTACACCACCACCACCACCCGCAATGTCATTATTAACCACATCTGTTTTTACTTTTCATAAATTAATTGAAATGGGCTCAATCAAACACACACATACTGCATCATCCACACATACTACAGCATACACAGAGGGAATAGGATAAAAGATATAGAGAGAAAAGATCTAGAAGAAAATCACCTAACCACCGTCGGGATCGAACGTACTGCATCAAGACACCGACGGCGGTGAAGTCACCGGGGAAATTTAAGAAAAGCTAATCAACAGGTCATCCCAACGGTAGAAATTCCAAGACGACCTTCAAAACAAAACACTCGCAGATCTGTTTCCTTCTTGATTTTCATTTTAAAGAGTGACCTATGGATATGATTTGAGATTTTCATGGGTTCGATTAAGTTCTTCATGGGTTCAATTAGGATTGTTTGTGGGTTTGAGTAGGTGGTAATGATGAAGGTGGGGTGGTGTTGTGGCAGACAAGCTCTTTGTGGCGACGAATGGGTTTTGCTATTGGGTCTTACGATTATTGGATTAGATTTGGTGACATGGGTTAGGGATTTTTGCTTGTTGCAAATGTTGAAGGGGTGGTTTTGCTTTTTATGACGGTGGTAGTGGTTGTGGCGTTGAGGTTCCGGTGGTGAGTGGAGAAAGAAAGAAAGAAGGGGTGGGCAGCGGGTGGTGGCAACGGTGGCAGATGGTGGTGTAATTGTTATTGAATGGTGGGTTTGGGTTGTCATAGATTAAGGGCGGATGGCAGAAATGGGGCGATTGGGGAACTGCGGCAGTGCACGGCGATGAACTACGGCATTGCATGGCGAGATGGATCCGGCTTTGGCGATAGCAGCTTGTGCACACCGAGGTGGATATAGGCTTGCTGTGACGACGATGGGCTGGTTGCGGCTTCGGCTATGAACTCGAGGATGATGGCAGCGAGCTCAGCTTTAATGGAGGACGTGGCGAGCTCGGATGGGATGGGCGTGGCTGTGGCGGATGTCGGCTGTGATGGAGGCGACGGCGAGCGAGGTTGAGCTCAAACGGTGGAAAACTGTGTGGTGATGGCAGTGACGGACCGGCGAGCTTGGAACAGAGAACTCGAGCAACTCGGCTGTGATGAGGTCAGAATGATTTGTGGCTTTGTGGTTGGATTTGGGTCTGTGATTGATTTTGTTGCAGATTGTTTGGTGGTTTTTGCACTTTGGTCTCGGTTGGTTGTGATGAAGTCTTAAGGGTAAAATCGTAACTTTAACAATACACAAAAAATTTAAAAAAATTTCATTAAACAAATAGTTTAACTCTAAGGACAAAAATGTAAATTCATATCAATCCACTAACCACAAACAGTTAATTTGGGTCTTTATGTTATATTGTGTCCATCTTCTATCTACATGTACAAGTTGAAAACCTGAGGAGTTCTTTATGTAATTTGCCCTAAAAAATGTTAGGGGAGATTTTATGTTAAGAAAATTTTGGAGGGGAGTCTTATGCCAAAAGTAGAAAGCAGGGGGGGTTTAATGCAGTATGCCCTAAAAAAGTGTAGTAAATAAATAAAAGGGATAATTACACTCAAACCTCCTTAGGTTTGTCCTATTAACAACAAGATGAAAGTTAGCATATTTCTTAACAATGACACCCCTTTAAGTTTGCTCTGTTTAACAAAAACACCCTACACATAATAAAATGCCCTTTGACTTGTCAATTAAACTATTGAAATGTTAAAATTACCGATTTAGCCTTCTAACTAATTTTAATTGACTAAGCTAACCTTTCATCACTAGACAGAATATACCTATGTTTATGTGTAGATATATAAAGGAAGAGAATGGGAGAAGATGAGAGGAACAAGAATAGGGCGGCGGCACGCTACCATAGCCACAATTCCCATTGCCACCTCTACCAACGCCTCTCTATACCTTCTAACCTTCACAGCCCCACCACACCCACTCCCACCACACTCCACAGTCCTACCACACCCAACACCACTACCACCACTTCACACTCCTATCACACTGCCCCACCAACACCACTCCATAGCCCCACCACACCCACCACCACACTCCACCATCACCATTTCATTTTACACGATTCCTTCATCTCTGATATCATAGAATTCAACTTTACCTTCACAACCCCACCACCACCAAGCCCTAGCCGAATTAGGGTTTAGTTCCCCAAATGTAACACTGACTAGTCTGATCGATTCATCAGGATTTGGATGAGGACGGACAATGCTTTGTTTGATTCCTCTGGTTATGTGCCTGGAACTGCCAATTTGCCATAACATACTCCGTGACCTCGCCGCCAACGGGGAATTCCGGTGAGGGTGAACGACTACGACACGCGATGGTTGGGCTCGGAGTGCGCAGAGGAGGCGGTAAGAGGATCGAAGAAGAAGAGGGATTTGATGCATGTACCAGTACGGAGAGATTGTTGATGAGCTTGACGAAGATGGGTTTCATGAGGTGTGTATAATATATATATATATATATATATATATATATATATATGATTCAACCAAGTTCAATTCATTTATGGAAATTGGAAAGTAAAAAAAAAAACAAATATGTGATTTATATTGTGGTGCCAATGGTGGGTGGTGGCTGTGATGGTGGATGTTGCAGTGATAATTGTGGGATTCTAATGAAGGTGAGGTAGAGAGAGGGTTAAAAAATTCTGGATTTTCAAGGAGATGGTAGAGAGAGAAACCTATGGTTAATAAGGGTAAATCTGGCATTTAAATTTTTTGATATTTTAGATTAAAGTTTAATATTTTATGGAAGGGTAATCTTGTATTTTCTTAACTTTTTAGGGCTTGTTTGGATCAAATTTCTGACAAAGGGTGTTAGTATTCAAAAATGGCCCAACTTTCATCTGATTGTTAATAAGATAAATCTTAGGGGGTGTCACTGTAATTAACCCTAAATAAAAAGGACAAAGTTATGTCAAACGTCGTTGTTTATTATTGTCATTTATCTACCCTTCTACTGTGACTCTTTAGCTGCTTCAGCTGAAGTGAACTGATCCTCGTCACAAATCACAACCCTAGAGAAAGAGATTTGCTGTGGTAGATAAAGAGCACCAAACATAAGCGATCAGGTGAGTTTCCGCATAACAGTGTCTATAACCTTTCATCTCCAATGATTTATATATACAGTAAAACACTAGTTCGTTTTAAATGCTCTTCTGTTTTAGATTCAACAATCCAAAAATTGTATGTCCTTCAAACCCATCGACTGTCTTCGTCTCTTAAATCCATCTCAACTTCCACAAATCAACACTCTTTTATTGTGAATTACCTCATTAATTCATGTGGGTTGAGTCCAAAAACTGCTATTTCAGCTTCCAAACAAATCAATTTTAAAACCCTAGACAAACCAGATGCAGCTCTTAACTTCTTCATGAACCATGGATTCAGCAAAACCCAGATCTTAGATCTCATCAGAAAACGCCCAAGACTTCTCTTATCGGATCCCAACAAAACCTTTTTGCCCAAATTCGAGTTCTTTTACTCCACTGGCATTTCCAGCACTGAGCTCGCAAAGATAATATGTGCAAGCCCAACTGTATTGACAAGAAGCTTGGAGAACCATATCATCCCATCTTTCACTTTGTTCATAAACTTATTTCATTCAGATGATAAGTTTCTCACGACTTTAAACGAATTCCTATGAAGTTTGTAGAGGGCTATCGCAGTGATATTACATCCTCCAATATTGAAAATTTGAGACAACACGGCGTGTCTGATTCAAATATTGTGTACTTACCGCTTATGGTAGGTCACTCAACTTAAAGCCCGATAGATTCAATGAGGTAGTGGTGGATGTTAAGAAAATGGGTTTCAACCCTTCAAACATCAACTTTGTTATAGCGGTTAAGGCATTGAAGTCAATGAACAAAACAACATTGAAAAGGAGGATGGAGGTTTATGAGAAGTGGGGTTGGTCTCAGAAAGAAACAATGTTGGCTTTTACAAAACGTCCGTGGTGTTTGATGATATCCGAGGAGAAGATAATGGCAGTGCTGAATTTCTTTGTGAACACAATGGGTTGGGAGTCTTCCCTAATTGCCCATCGTCCAGAATTAATGTCACTAAGCTTGGGTAAGAGGATTATTCCCAGGTGTTCAGTACTTCAAGTTTTGTTGTCGAAAGGTTTGATTAAGAAACCAGTTGGTACACAGATATTGTTGAGGTCCCTCGAGAAGTTTGTGAACTGTTAGTATAGCATTTTGTTCCAATTCCCTAAGCAGCTGCCGTGGGATTTGATAATAATCTGCACATAGCTATTCTTCATATTAATTGGCCTTTAGACATGCACGACAATACAGTTTGATTTCAGAGTAGTTTTAGATGTTTCGGTGATATATCCTGTCATACTACAGAAACCATGAGGATTGCACCTCATGGTACCGCTGAATTTCTTTTCATCGTTGTCTCTAGATGCAGAATTGAGGCAAAATTCTACCATTACTTCGCCTTATTGTCATGGACGCGTCAAAATGGTATTAGTGATTCACCTTATTATCATGGATCTATGCATGTGTTACCAACACAGGCTAATAGTTTTGTCATACTTCAAAAACCACGGGTGTGAAAAACACCTCGATTCATCCTTTTTGAGTGTCAAACCTTACCAACCCATTGTTTGTGTCTGTACGCGCGTGTGAGAGAGAGAACCATCAAGCAAAGCTTGGAAGTGAACTCATCTGTTCCACTTGTTTGGTAGAATAGGAAACTATTCCTCTCCAACCTTTTTTCAATGCTAATACAGTCTAGAAAAATGACAATCGAAGAGGTTAGCCTACGTGTGTGCATATGTTGGATGCATTGGTGCATGTAGCATGTTTGTTTGTTTTTATTTTTTATTTTTTATTTTTTATTTTTTATTTTTATTTTTATTATTATCCCGTCAAATACAAGCATCCATCAACCCACCTTTCACTTTGAAAAGTGGGAGAGAGACGCTTTGGTTGATGGCCTATTTGCATACATTGAGAAGGAGGGTGTTTTGCATGTGAAGCTTGTCTAATCTCTCCACCAAAATTTTAACGTGGCAAAATCTCTTTAATGCAGATTAGATTTATTTCTTGTAAGAGGAAAATTAATGGCATAATATACAATGTATGCAATTTATTTGTTTAGTTTTTAATAGAATTTATTGCTCGTCTAAACAAGTCGAAATTCCCGGGGACTAATCTCCTCATGTTTCTCGTATAATATCATAATCCAGGCATAACAATGTGTAAAATGAAGTATCAATAGTAAAAAATCAACTAAATTAATATTAGAAGTATACAGTAATCGTCCAAGTGTCCATGTAATACATGTCCTAGTTCCTGAATTTATTGCATTTATATCAAACATAACCTTTAACCATGACCTGGGGAAGTAGATGGCCTTGGATAAGAAGCAGCTTCCTCTTTGCAAGCGCTAGACGCTCTAACAACTAGGCTTACTGGGTGATGCCATCTTTGCAAGCTTCATCAGGCACATTCAGACCTCTGTTTGAATTGTTGTGATTATTATGGAGGGATTCGCTTTTAGGACTTTCTGTGTCTTTTTTTTTTTTTTTTACCTACGAAACGGCTACCTCTTTGAATTGTTGTGATTATTATGGAGGGATTCCCTCTTAGGGCTTTCCGTGTCTTTCAAGTCCTGAAGCTGCTCTAATGCTTCCACCACCTCATTCATGTTTGGCCTCAACTTGGGTTCAGTTTGTAGGCATTTGATAGCAATGTTAGCTGCTCTCCGTGCTCCACCTACTGAGTACTGGCCTTTAATACGAGGATCCATCAAACGGAGAATTTTGCTGGCCGGGTATTGCTTGTCTTTCCCGATTAGACTATTCTTGTCCACTGCTCTTCGACCGGTCAACATCTCGAGGAGAACAACCCCAAAACTATATACTTCACTTTTGGCAGTTGGATCACCTTCACAAGAAGAGAATGAATTATACATGGATCAGAAGGGAGGAAGTAATGAACTCGAATGAATAATATATAATGCATAGTTAATTGCAGCAAATAGCAGACTTGTATACACTCAAAGCTTGAAAACGTGACAGCCCAAGTGTGAGTGTGTGTGTGAGAGAGAGAGCAGTTATCGAATATTTAATTTATGTCAGTGAAGTGAAGAGTACCATCACATGATGTCTTTAAATCATTATTCGAGAAAAAGAAAGAAGATGCAGGTGTGCAAATATGAAAAAGAACAAAGATGAGAATTTAGAATACCTGTGACCGCATACTCGGGAGCAGTATAACCATTACTCGTACCCGTACCGCGTATGACCACATAATCAGGATCATAACCATAGGGACCTGGAAGGACATCGACTACACCAACTAGTGGCCTGGCCAACCCAAAATCATCAAGCTTTGCATCGAAGTTCTGTCGATTAACAGTGAAAAAGTCCCTGAGAGTCGCACTAGTATTGTTGAACAAACACAAGTCTCGTACAATTGAAATGTTACACATACAGAATCAAGCAGAATATTAGAGGATTTGAAATCGCTAGATTTCAGTTTTGCTTCTGAGCTGTGAAGAAATGCAAGTCCCTTAGCAGCGCCAAGAGCAACCTTCACACGGAGGTTCCAAGAAAGCGGTTGAATACAAGCCCCTGGTCCAAGAATGTGTGTGGGTTCTTTGTCACATAAATAATTAAGGCGAATTGGTGGCCGGAAATGACATTAAGAACTTACTCGTAAATAGATGATCTTCCAAGCTACCCTGTGCCATGAACTCGTATACCAGAAACCGCTGATGATCCTCCAAACAGTACCCAACCAATTTCACAAGATTGGGATGATACAGTTGCCCCAAATTATTAATTTTTGCCTATACTTGAACTCGAGGTTTATCAGAACTTAAATTTCATTCTGGAAATTCTGGTGATGTCTTATTGACATGGTAGATGAGAATGATCAATGCTCATTTAAGTTCTTGTATGCACGACTGTACCCGATCAAAGTAAGATGTACGGAGTATCATTTTAAAGATTGGGATTATAATGAATAGAAGGTATTATGGACCTATATTTACTATTTGATGGAGTAAAAGTCTAAAAAATGAAGCTGACAAAATTTTTGACGTGGACATGAAAAAATACTGTTCATATGCTGGACAGAGTGCGTAAGAAAGCCGGAGTTCATACTTACCAAGCATTCTTCGTGAGGCTGAGCGTGTTCATTGGTTAGTCCCTTCACAGCAATAACCATGCCAGTCCCTGGTTTGGCAGCTGTAAATGTATGCTCATCAATCCAGCCTTCATAGACACTACCAAAACGACCTTCTCCCAACACATTATCGGGACGGAAATTCCCGGTGGCTGTTTTGAGTTCGCTGAAGGCAAAGCTCTTCAAATTTGTCGTCGGAGTAAGTGGCACCTAGGCAGATGAGACCTTGCTACTAGACTTACAAAAATCTTTACCATCTTCTTCAAATTTTGAATCCACCCCTACACATGTAAATCAATCGCACATAATCCACTAATTCACCTGAAAATGCCAGACTAGAAAATGGAACTCCTCAGCAAACAAACTCAACTTCTGAGTACGAATTAACCACATTACAAGATCAGACAATTCAATTTTCACGGACAAGCCATAGTGAATTGAATTGCCCGGCTCATAACCACATTTGTACACGATCAGCCAAAAGAAAATGTATGTACAGTGTACATGCATGCATATAAACATATATATCATATATATTGTGTATGCTCTTAATATATATATAGACACACACACGCATGTGAATTCGGTCGATTTCCAATGGTAATGTAGCAAACTTTGCTGTAAAAAACAACTTGCTCCATAATTATAAGCAAAACTTGATCCCAAGAAGAGCACAAAAACCCAAGACTGAAGGGTCTGCTAATTGAGATTCAGCGTTGATTTCATCCGGATAACAAACTATAATAACTGTATGTATATCTATACCTTTAATTAATTCATTTCATAAAATGTAGTAAATTTATAATGAACTTCTTAACCCAGATTTTCAAGAAACAAAACATCCCCAAGAAAATTAGAAAACTTAAATGTTCTAGGTCAGTGAATCACGTCATTAATTATAAGAAAGCATCTATTTTAGTTATTTTAGTGAGTCCTACAACTGCAGCGGACACAATCGTCTTTTAAATAAAGAATCTAGGTGAAACAAAGTCGAAAGATTGGGGACCAAAAATAAGGTGTTTGAGGAAATACACTTCAAACCAATTTCACCAAATTAATACTACATAAAACCGATCCGAAATGTAACAAATCCATACTCAGACGATGTTGAGAGAGAGAACAAATCAGAGCCTTCCATACTCTTCTATGTATTTGATTGAACTTTTCAACGCCGTGTACTTTTGTTGAGGAGATCAAGAGTGAAATTGATAGGGTCGGAAAATAATTTTGGGAAGATTAATTGGTTAGTTGTGTTGGTTAAGTTTTGAGAAATTATTTTCCTCTTTAAAATATTTTCTTTGAATTTGTGACTACCAAACATAAAATCAAAAAAAAAAAAAAAAAATCAAAATAACAAAAAATATATATATATATATATATATATATATATATAAATGTTTTACAAATGTTCTACGTCAGTGATCACATGATATCACACATTAATTATAAGAAAGCATCTATTTTAGTGAGTCCTGCGACTGAAGAGGGACACAATCATCTTTTAGATAAATAAAAAAATATAAGTGAAACAAATTCTAAAGATAGGGGACCAAAAATAAGGTGTTTGAGGATGTACACTTCAAACCAATTTCACCAAATTAATACAACATGAAACTGATCTGAAAATGTAACAAATCCATACTCAGACGATGTTGAGAGAGGACAAATTAGAGCTTTCCTAATTAAAAATGCATAATTTCATAAATAAAAGTTGAACAATGTCAAGAAATTAAGGAAAAACAGAGTTACAAAACAATTAGGGGAAAAGAAAGAGGACTCTGACCTTTGATTGGAGCACTGATACAAGAACCCATCAAAACTGCACTCACCTCCTTTTCCCCTTTCACCAGAGATAGCAGAGACCCACCCCTTTACAAGTCTTTATGGTCTTCGGAGCTCAAACACAGACAAGGTCAAACACAGTATCTTTGTGAACATCATTAACGCGGGAACGTATAAGTTACTCTCCTATCGTCCAAATACGACCAAGAAATCACGGAAAATGATTAAACATATTTTATGATTGGTTCTCGTTAAGTCTTCGAACTTTAATTGTTTAGGTTAATTTCACTGTACCCCTTCAAGTTTGGTGAAATATCATTTTCAAATATCATTCCAAAACAACATTTAGATCCATTTTTACTTTTCCATTAAAGTGTCCATTAAAAATATGTAAAAAGACTATTTTGTCTCTAAATACCTTTGACTTGGTCAAAAGTGTTCTCTAACCTACATAAAAATTAAATAAAAAGACTACAATACCCCTAAAAATACTACAAATTTACAATTATAGATATATCATAAATATATATATATATGCTTCTCAATAGTGACAACGTTTTGAACCTAATGTTCAAGTTCGCATCATCTGTTGTTCTCACTTCTCACTATGCCATGGTCTCGTATATTAGAGATTTTTGGCGGTCTAGATGGAGATGACTGTGGTCTTTCGGTATTTGTGATCCTTTCTAGTATGATGGGTGAATCTTGAAAACTCGAGGCCCGTTTGGATCGCGATAACGTTATATGTTATGGTTTGGTATGATATGAAAACAACCGTTTTGGTATTAATATGTTTTTAGTAGAAATCGGAACTATATTTGGTAACGACTGTTTTGTTTTTGATAATTGTATATCAAAAATATGAAAACGCATTTGGTAATGTCATGTGTTTTAAGGAATCCCAAAACAAAACACGTTTGGGAAGTTAGTTTTGTTGTCAAAATTCTGAATCAATAACAGGATACCTGTTTAGTAAAGAATGTTTTGTTTTTATTTTGAATAATTATATATATGAATATAATTATAAGTTTATATGTAATAGTCCATTTTTTTTATGATTTGAGATAATTTGTTAAAATAAAAAAATAAAAAATTATTCTACATTAAAGAGTTGCGAAAAAAAATTATGATTAGTGGCAACCAAATTACAAATTTAACTTTATAATAATCTTTTAATGAGAGGAGATCTTTGCACTCCATTTATCTTTTTCTTTTGGATTGTACTTCATTTAACTTTGTTTTGTTTCATATATATATATATATTATATAAATTCATTATGAATGAGAGGGAAAGAAATCCTTGTAGTTGAAACTATCAAGAAGCAAAACGTTGATCTTCTTGAATTGGTCACAGTTGAGGTTTGGTGGACATTGAAGCTTGTGAATGGTAACCAGAATTGATAAATTGGAAGAAAGATTAAGCAAGCAATCAAGGAAGATAAATGGTAACCAGAATTGGTCACAGTTGAGGTTTGGTGGACATTGAAGCTTGTGAATGGTAACCAGAATTGATAAATTGGAAAAAAGATTAAAAGTAAGCAATGAAGGAAGATCCCTCTCTTACAAGACTGAACAATAAATCACCTCGAAAAAATAAAAAAATAAAAAGAGAGGCATGCCATCAAACAACCTGCTAGAAAAATTATTGCCATCCAAACAAGTACTTGAAAATATTTTGTACGATTTTAATCAATCATAAATAACACACCAAATCACAAGTTTTTTTTGTATATCACAAATTTAATAAATTGTTGTTGCACCATTCACATATATACTTGCACATATAGGGAGCTAGACATTCCTTAAAAATAGTATGTGTGTACACACACTTCATTATACTTAAATAAAATGTACACACAACTGGAGATCACTAAAATTCATTTCATAAAATGTACACACACTTCTTTATAGTTGCATAGGCCTCCATTTAAGTAACTTAAAGATCACTACCTTCCTGGAGTTGCAGCAACTGGAGAATGCTTCCTATAAATCCCACTGCTGCCACTGCCCACAACTTACTACCATGTCCTTCATGAATTGTTTTTGTCAATCATTTTCACATCAAAGTCATTGTAATGATCATGTTTTAACCATGCTGCTCAACAAGGAAAAACTGCATATATTTTAGTACCCAAGAGCAGTTTGTAGAAGCACACTGAACATAAACTATACACAATTTACAATACTTATAGTAAACATAAACTATACACAATTTACAATACTTATAGTAAACATAAACTATACACAATTTACAGACACATACACTAATCGAATAGGTGTTTAACCTGCAGAATGCAGGGAGGATCTGGCTGCAAACATAACACCTGCAAATGATAGACCAATTAGCTTGATAGTATTATGGATACCACAGATGTATTAGTTTCAAGAAAACAAGAAAAAGAAGTGGTGAAGAATGGCCCTGCTGAAGCCCAAGTTCATATTTTAGTAAGATTATCTTATTATATGCAATCCAGATTAATTATGTTGGTATAAGCAACTAAAGTTATAGCTGGTATAGCTGGTATTCAACCTGAGTCGCCACATGGCATCAGCCAATGTACAATGGCACTAAGACCAAATTGTTGAGCGGTGACTTGGCACTTCCTCAATGTGATGAAGGCTATGCCAAACTGACACTTACAGTCAAAAGAATAAGCACAGCCCCTTTAATTAAAAAAAAAAAAATTGGCTTCAGTTTTTATCTTATACCACTTTCTTGTCATCTGATCCACCTATGTTTATCACATTGGACGAAAACTTTCTTATTTTTCTGGCCTTAGTTTTTATCTTATACCACTTTCTTGTCATCTGATCCACCTATGTTTATCACATTGGTCTGTGTATAAACACGCCAGCATCAACATATTATAGCTGGTATTCAACCTGAGTCGCCACATGGCATCTGCCAATGTGCAACGGCACAAAGAATAAATGTCTTCTGAAGGTCCAACCATGAGCACCCAGTAAGGACGAGTTTAACTCACAAGGGTAGAATGGCCGTTCAGAAAGCTGCTGTTAGATCTTTGGTTCTGACTGGTTCTGCCTAAATCAACCACGTATGATATTCCTCAACGCTTTGCTGACCCAAAAGGTACCCAGAATCATATGTGAAGAGTAAAAGTTCAAAATATTTCCTAGAAGTTTAGTCACACATCCTACAGCATCTACCTCTTTCAAGCACGCTACACTTTACAGTCAGTATGCAAGCTCCTAAGTAGTTGATTCCCATCTAATCCTATTGCCGCTGTCTCTTTTTAAGGATGATATTTATTTCAACAATTTCAGATAGTAAAGTCACTGTACAATAGAGCTACTTGCGCAAGGCAGTGATTTAAATGCTTGTGACAGTGTGACGTTCTATACATTCACATCCATCTTCTTGACTCTTTGCTGAAACTAGAGTATGCTTACTTTAGTTGATTCTATGCTTCGCAGATTGAATTAGAGATCTCATAATTCTACTTGCTACTTACAAGCTACCAACAGCCGTCAAAGTTAGACGACGTCCATATATGAATAAACAATCATACCACCAGGTAAATTGATAGAAAGAAACTTAGAGAGCAAACATATATGCACATTGGGATGGATAATCTGATTGAATGGGACTAGCTAGGAAGAAAGGTGTAAGACCAAAATGATCCCATAATTCATAAAATGCATACGATAAACAACTTTAAGCCTTCGATTGAGTGGATAAAGCATCTACTTAATTTTCCAAACAATAAGATCACCATTTGGGATTTGCTTATAAAAGAGTACATCTCAATTCATCAAGTTCTCTATATATCTGAATTTTGACAATCTTTTTGATAAGTCAAATCTAAATTTCGATATGCACTTATCTCTCTTCATCGACCAAGTCTCCTATTGTGACAATCACACCTAGTAATTAATTACTTCTCAAAACCATCATCATACTTCTTTTCTGTTGGTATGTCAGAATCATAACCACATTAAGGAACCCTCAAGTCTTATAAACTTCCACTATGACTTCAATCTAAGTTATTTGAGTTCATTATTTACTATATTTTGTATTAGGAGTTCATTATTTACTATATTTTGCATATTAGACCATTTAATTATAAACTAACAAAACACAATCCAGAATCTATGACAAATATCTTCATTGTATCAAAAAAATTCCTCATCGCCATCATCGATTTCTTGGAAAAATAAAAAAGATATTGAAAAGCTAGAGACTTTAACTGCATTAGATCAGAAAATTTTCCATAATATCATTTCCGAATTCAAAATCCAAATACAAATTGAACACAAAGCAATAAAAATATGAAATTACTACTTTTATCTTTTTTCTAAAATACTCCGTATAAAAGAAAAGAGAGCTCAACAAACCTAATTCATACGATTATTAATCCACAGCCGCATTGGATTGCTTTTGTGGTGCTTAATGTTTGTGTTGTTGTTGAATCGACGCTTTTCGTTCGAATTCTCTCCATGAAGTGACTGAGTGAAGGTGGAGCAAGAGATTCGGTCTGAATCGTCTTCCGTAATCTATCTATGAGATGAGATGAAGAGAGGCTGGGATATATTGATAATTCCATCATCGAAGTAAGGATTGACTAGAAAACTAGGGCTTGAGTTCTGTCAATGGAGAGAAGGTTGAGTTTGGCGAACGAGATAAGAGAAAGGGCCAGCAATACCAAAAGGCTAGATCTGCAATTATCCAACCCCAATCTGCAACAATAGAGAGAAATGAGAGGCGCAAATGAAATCGCCTCAACCGACCTGCGAGAAGACGGACAACCGAGAGGCAAAAATGGAAGGAAGTAGCTGGTGGAGGAGATCTTCCAGATCGGTGGTGGAAGAGTTTGTGTATGGAGTTATCGCCTCTGAAATCGCCTCAAGGAGCTGCGCAAAGAGAGAGAAAGTAAGGCTAAAAAATGGGCCAATTCTGATATGGGAATATTTTATAGTTCATATCACCGCTACAGTAAAAACGAGGGTGATATGTTTTTGGTTTGGGTTAATATGGCCGCTACAGAATATCATATCACCCAATATCACCAATTCCTTGATATGGGTTTTGGCCCAAATCTGATAACGTTTTGACACTATTCAATACCACATCAACCCACTCCAAACATAATATTGGCCCAAAACCAAAATCAAAACATCAAAACAATATCAGATATGGGTTTCCAAACGGGCCCTCAGGGTTTAGGTTTATAACCTGATGTTT